TGTGCTAGACAACAAAACACTGTAATATAAAACTATTAAACACATTTTAATACAAACTTGTAGGGCAATGAACATAATTTGACAATTATCATGGAACTTGGTAGTGTCTTTTAAAAAATTAAGAATGGTTGTCAGTTGTTCTTTTAAATATTTACATAAAAGCAAATGCTTGGGCACATTCAACACATAATTATTAGGATTGTCACAATGAAAGGATCAAATTAATAATAAATTAAGTTTTAATCAAGTATTTCTTACTTAGTTAATTAAGATTCATGACCTAATGCTACCAAACTTCCAAAGCTCAAAATCCAAAAATTTACTTTCAATTATTACATAAACACCCTTCCACTGTTAAGTACAAGAAAACTGAGTATATATAATGATACATTCATGGTATGTATGCTTGGTCAAAGATTATAGAGGTCTCGATTAAACTTAAAACTGATGCTGCAGGAAACTTCCCATCTGTCACTCTTTATATTGCCAATTAACCTTTTACTCGTCAAGTTACCTCAATAGCTGAGTGACATCTGCCCATTTGTTTGGCAACCATAAAATGTGGCTATATAAACTCAATTGATGATATGGGGAACAATGATTTCACGCACAAAACATTTTTAACAATGTTGAAGCATTTATTTAAAAAATGTAATTAATTTTATAATCGTATTTTGGGCTGAAAAAATCAAATAGCGTAGCAAAGGGTCAATGTACAATATTTTCATGTGACATACAGGAAAGCTATCCAACATGGCAGTGAAAAGTTAAAACACACTCTGAACTACAATCATATATCAAATTAGATGCATAATATATTATAGATGTATATTTACTAACACATTAATTGGTACATCTTGTAACAAGGTGTATTTATAATTGACTAATTAAGCAATTAATCAATTAATAGTAAATAGCTGATTAATAAACATTTTCATCAGCTCACAGCCCCAATTACCAGCTCTTTCTTAATTTTCAGAATATAATATATGTCTGAAGCATAAGAAGTTTTGAACTTTAACACAGTATTGCTGTTTTAACAAAATTCAGTGAATAGGTTTTGACAAAGTACTTGTAGTAGACTAAGAGATGTTTAGGAATAACTTCAGAGTAGACTAAAGGCACAAATGTGTCAATGCTATAGAGTGTACACAGTATTCTATGACTGCTGATTTGAACCAGTTGAAATAAAACACTACTGAAGCTACTCATCAGCCTCAAACACAAAATATCTTATATTTAAGAGATTTGAGGTTCCCACGGCAGTGAAGAGGTCAATGTTGATCTTCTGGGTTACAACAATGTGTACATGTAGAGAGATGCCAATGTTTTCAAGGAATATACTGCCCCCATCTTCAATTGGTACCTACCTATATGCACGTGTGGCATTACTAACCAGAAGACCAATACTGAAATCTTATATTTACTAAGTAATATACATACACAATATTTGCTTCACCATTCATTCATTCATACCAGCATACAAATTTAAGAAAATTAAAATATATTCATAACCAGCTAAGAACTATCATCAAGAGCATCATCTGGATCAAGATCTAGTTCTTCTAAATCTTGGAAAAGGGATTCATCAACTTTAATAGAATCTCCACCTACAAAAGAAAAAATATCATCAGAATCAATTAAGGTGTTGGAGAACAACATACTGAGAAGTGAAAGGAAGTAAGGAAAGGACAGATGAAACTGTACAATCAGGAGCTTAGTAATTTGTACTTTCAACTAATATTACTGAGGTGATCAAATCAAGGAGGATAAGCATGGTACGACATGAGAAATGCATTCAAAATCTTAATTCTTATGCTGTGATATGTATGTAAATGAGAAAGAATTTCTTCAACAGAGCTAGTCCATGGTTAGTTAATGTACTGTTAAAAGTGAAGTACTTTATTAAACCTTGTCACAAATTTCAAGGAATTTTGCATCACTGTACAGGATGAGTTATAATTAGGTTCTAATTTAAATATATTTGTCTCCAGAATGAACAAAGCATATCATATTGGAACAAACTCCAAGTTTCTTTACAAAACTCACATTTTTTTACTAAGTGTTCAATATGCCTACCATAAGTTCATTTCAGAGTTTCAATTTCTTTGCTCTAGACCTAATTGTGACACACCCATATATGTTTATTATAAAGTGAGAATAATTATAATTTATTGCCAAACACACAATTATCCACAAATATCAGTCACAATGAAATAATTATCATCTTGTAGTCAAGGAGTTAGGTCACTTGTTGAGCTGTTCCTGCCTCAACTGTTCAAAGTCTCTTGAAGTCTGATGTAGTACAAGTGAATTGATAACAGCAGTGTACAGGAGAAGTGATGTCCAGGAGATAATTTTGTAGAAAGTAAAAGAGAACGCAATCAAATACAAAAACTTACCATCTTCAAGAAACTTGAGATCAGATTCATTAAGGGTTTTATCTGTCAGAAATAATTCTCTTCCTGTTAACTTCCTTGTTTCCTTGTCATCTTTTTCTTGAATTTTTTTCACTCCAAATTCCACATCAAATCTTGCCTTCCATGCAAGAAATGATTCTACTGTAACTCTTGTTCCTTCAAATCTTTTCTGTAAATAACAAAAGAAAATTAATTAAAATTACCACATTTACTGTACTAGGTACATTCAATCCCACATCTGAGTTTGGTCGTTTAGTGGTGTTCTGTCCAGACTACCATAACCGACCAGCAACATACTGTGAGAAGACAAAAAATATCTTTCAGAATGCACTCTGAGCACACAATTTTCTCTTCTGGCACTAGATGTGCATGCAAATACCTTTCATAATTCCTTCAGAAGACAAACATTGTTGGCTACCAGTTTCTTTATCATGTAAAAATTGCAAACATTTACAGTATTGCAAAACTTGCTGAAGCTGGCAGGTAAGATAGCATCAGAGTTCTTGGGAGAGAACTTAATACCAGTTTATCACAAAGCAATCAATCAATCACTTTAACTCTGGAATGCACTGGATAGGAGTCTTGACAGGATCCAGAGCTGATGTGGATATGGTGGCTAAGAGGAAAATGTGCTCATGTTGGGAACTATGATAGTAGTAAAAACACTATATCTACTAGGGCTGTGCCATGTTATGCTTTGTTTTCCATCAAGGATTTGAAGAAACATTAATGCTGAGGCAGCACATGTCCAAATACCAAAGATCCTAGCAGGGGAAATTCAAATTCTCAATAAAGATACATGGGTGGATTTACTTATAACATTTGGATTGCTGCGTTTTTGTACTTTGTCATCTGACATTATAAAATTATGAAACACTTTGAGAAATGGATCTGCCCTTGTCTTCAGACAATGGACAAAGTCCAAAAACCCAACAATCCAGATCACATTACACCATCATCAGAAACCTCCGGGAAATATTTTTACTTGTAACATTATCACTACTTTATATGAACCCTTTGCTTATATTATGTGAAACATTTATGATAGCTTTAATTGTTCTTTACAGTCAATATGTTACACACTCCCCACAATCAAACACTTGCTGTGGTCCAACCAACTCCCCATCAAGCGCACTGCAACAGTTCCTCTTTTAATAAATATTATACAGATATAAAGTATACCATAATATGACACATCAAGCTGAAAAAAGTATAAGAAAATAAAAGTAAAAGTAATCTATCTTTCTATAAAAATGTTGAGAGTCAATATCTGTCCAAAAACATAACTTTTCAATGTACAGTACAAAATCATCTGCTGAAACAGAAGTTCCATGCTTAATCCAACAGCTGATTCAAATATCAGAGTTGAAAGAGTTAATCATGCTTACCGAATTTTTGCAAACCATTTACAATCAGTTCAGCCAACATGACTGACCAGTTCTGCATTTCTTCTAAAAAACATGCTAATACTGCTAAAGTTAACACAGGAGATGCAATAATTCTGAGTAGTTGTAAACAAGCAATAAACCATAAGGAGACCAACAATTTTTAAAATTATCCTGAGAATATAATATTAACTGTAGAAAGTTGGTACAAAGAAGTAAAAACTGAACCGTGTAGCACATCATTCACTTCATGGCTGCCAATTTAAATTACAAGATACATTATGTTCTGTATGAAACTCAGAAAATCTAAACAGTTTACTTTTAACCTTTATCTTACTAGCGTTCCCAGTCTGGGACGTAAGTTGTGTACTCAGCCCTACGAACGTTCCCGGAGTGGAACTCAAAACTTGCAACATTGTAAGTAGACTTGGCTATGTCTTTTGGCCTCTTTTAGGGGCTGCAAATATTGAATCTCTTTCTCTAGAGTTTTTACAAGTTCAGCCTGAGCTGTCAACCCGGAAACTATAACCATAAACATCAATAAACATTGTTATTATCAAGTGAGTTTCTCACATTCCTCGGCATGATCTGTGAAAACAATGTGTATCCACTGAAGTAGGGGAAAAAAATATTTTTGTGTGGTCATTAGTTCACAACCATGGCTTCTACCATGTCGAATGAGCTTCCAAAGAAGAAAATAAAGTTACTAAGGCCTATTTAGGCAATTAAGATATTAACTGTATTTTTAAAAAAACTCTTGTGTATTCTCTGTTCTATTTGAATAAATATGACATTTATTTCGTCAATTTATCATGTTTTTCTTTAGATAATATTAAAGTATTCCGTAGAGCGTGCACAAAAGTTTAAGAACCTGCCAAAATACTCCGTAGGGCTGTTACCATTTTGCCATTTAAATCCCCGTTGTTCAAAGGTTAAAGAAGCAGCTTAGATTTCCTAAGTTTTAAGACAAACATAAAACCTCTATCAGGATAATTTTAATAATGCTGTCAGAAAATGATTTTCTGAACATATTTTGGGGACACCCTGTGGCTTATTTAATAGCTTTCTCCTTTTGTAACATGCAGATTAAACCGTGTTTCTGTTCACTATTTTTCCACTTATTATTTTGAAGGCGTTTCTTCTAAATATGGTTTTAAATTCCAAATAAACAAACCCTTTCTGCCTCTTCTGCTTCTTTCTCTTTTAATATTGCATATTCTTCTCTTGCTTTACGTATTTCATCCCACTTTGTGTTAAGCCATTCTTGTGCTGATGAAACTAATGTAAAAATCATCACAGTTCCTAGGTTCTCTTCAGCCTGAAAATACAAATGATATATGCATACATTAGAAAATTATGACAAAGTAAATTACTTTACTTTTGCAATGAGGCACTGTTTAGATCACCCATCTAAATCATGAAGTCCATTTGAATTTTAAATAACTGCTTGAAGCATATATTAGATTAAATTTATTAAAAACAGACTACCATTATCATGCAACACAAAAGTAAATAATTTTAATATGTTTTCTTTATCAAATATATTATCAATACCACATATGCAAATTTTCTTCAAAATAATTAACATAACTAATATTTGTGTCATTTATATTGGATTCTTGGAACTTGTAAATAAATAAATAAATATATATGAAATGGGAGGACAATCTCAGGCAGGATCTATGGGAGATAGGAGTTGAAGGAGACTGGATTTTGTTCGCCCAGGACAGGATCCGATAGAGGGCATTAGTGAATTCGGTGTACTATGTTGTGTTAAAAACAATAACAAGAATAGTAACTTAATGACATATTCCATAATTTTTTTAAGCTTTCACAGCAACTAAACTAAATAATATCTTGGACACCAGCCATGACTGATTCCCCAAGATATAGTCCATGTTGTAGAACACTACAGTATAGTATTTTAAAATTATGAGCAATCTATTTACACTCTTTGATAGATCTTCTTTTCCCATGTTTCAGTAACCAAGATTTATAATCCAACCTTAAGTGAACAAAAATATACAATTCACAATCAAATCCTACTTGTTGAATTATATGCTCCTTTAATACTGCTTCATCCTCCTCTTCAAAATTTTCTGAATCACATATCTCCACCTCTGGTATTTCCTCTGGATATTTTGATGTGTAACTGAACTTCAAATTGCATTTCAGTCCATTTTCCGTGTCGGGTTCATATTCTTCTGATTTTATTGGAATTATAAATTTGTGGTGTGGAGTACTGCCTAGAACTAAAATTAAGGCACATGCAACATACCACATTTGTTTCGTGAAAGATTCTGTACTAAAATTTCACCATGCTTACTTTCCATTTCCCCACAATATATTGAATCTAAAGCTTCAATTTCGTTGATTTGTTCGTCCTTATAATCCATTATTTCCTATTATGCGTTACCCTTAATGTAAAATAATGTCAATTAATCATATCGAAAACAAATTACGCCACAATATCAATCACACACACAACCACACTCTATGCCACTGGTACACAGATGGAAAATCTTACAGAGCTGCCAACACATACGTGCACGTGGAAATTACTGTGTTTAAAACGACATTTTGTTCTGATGTGTCAATAACCACTATTACTTATTACCCCATTACAGCCCACTGGTGACTATATGTACCACATGCTTTAATAACTCTGCAATATTCCCCCAAAATGTATTATAGTTTTCGTACGATTCTTAAGGCAAAAAGCATTAAACATTTGGTATTTGTAGCGGAGAAACGTGTCTAATTCGAAGAACTAAATTTTAAATATTTAGACGAACTTCAGCATGAAAGAGTTAATACATACTTCTGGTAGAGGTCTGCTTGGGACCGGATCCCTGCCTGAGCTTGGGAGCACAAATAATCTTCGGGCCCAGGCCTAATTTATGACGGCAATCAAAAGATATTTCAAGCTTTCTTGGGTCATCCATTCTTCGCAAAGGAAAGAGTTACTAGTAGTTGCCACCTTCAGCTCGTAAAGCACTCGGGTTCCGGAGACAAATCCCAGACTTCATATTTCTCGGGAACTTTCATAGCTGCCTCCTCTCAGTAGTTCGTGATAACACCCTACAAACTTGGTCTCTGATCATTGTACCGTCCTCCAAACGCTGAAAGCACTTTAGATGTTTCAGAGCGTCGGTAACTAATTGAAGAATTACACTTATGCATTGAAAGAAACGTGTGAATGATATGATAGTCTGCGCATATTATAAATATATAAGGATTCATCTGGGCTAGTGAAAAAGGAAGTTTGGCTTAGATAGAGAACAGGTAACAAAATATGTAAACTTCAGGCTTGGGCTGGGATGAGCTTAATGGTTCTCAGACCAGGGTAGGTAAAATTCTGAAATTTCAGTCAGTGCAGACCTCTACATTGTACATGCTTTCAAACATGTTCAACATTTCATCTCTATTTCCTTTTACTACATTTCATAAAGCCAAAATTGTGTTAAACTTCCTTCCTATACTTAGCTTGATAAATAACCAAGCTGATTCTATAAAATATGTCCCTTGCCACTAACCTTTAGCAAGAAGTCTCTTTCCTTCTGATTAAAATATGTATTCCACTGATTCATTAAAGCCTGGAAATGTCAATGTAAACTATTTTCTAAAAGTTCTTTCAATATTACAATTGCTCTGCATGTCACAAGTAACAAGATAATGGACAGCTTTATGGGATACAAAACTATGCAGTCTTGCAGAAGTCATCCATGAATGCTTATCCTGTATGTACCATGAAAACATGGGGAGTAAAGGCAAAGCTTCAAGCATACTTAAATCTCATTAGTACACAGAGGTTAAAGTCAACTTCACACCCTGCCTGCTTTACTCCTGGACAAAGAAACCCCAATATCTACTGGTTGAGACAGGATGGGCATTAGAGCTGGTCTAGATGTGGTGAAGATGAAAAATCTCTGCCCTTACCATCATTTTTTGAATTTCTCACACCACAGACAATCCCTTTACTGATTGAATTCTCCTGGCTCATAATTAGTTTTGTATCAAGAAAGCAGGTCAGCATGGTGTTTATCTCTGATTTTGACTTGACTTTTCTCATCTCAGAGTACGGCATTCTGTTTTTGGGATATACCAGAAGACACATATACCACCAGTCACTATTATGTCTAAAGGTTTGGGTTCTTCAAACAATCTTGCTGAAAGGTCCAAGATGTTTTCCTAATGTTACAATCATTCCTGATTTTTTTTGTTACTGTAGTTGTATTTTGCAGCAGTTAAGAGAGTAGAATTTGTTAGTGACAGGTTGTCTTACGTAATTTTGGAAGGACGTTGGTGCGACATCATTGTCCTTAATGTTCATGCCCCAACTGAAGACAAAAGCGATGATATCAAGGATAGCTTTTATGAAGAATTGGAATCAGTATGTGATACATTTGGCAAGTATCACATGAAAATTCCGCTAGGAGATTTCAATGCAAAAATTGGGAGGGAGGATATCTTCAAACCCACAATAGGCAGCGAGAGTCTCCATGCACTTAGTGGAAGCCTGAGGGGAAGAGACCGCTGGAGAAACCTAGACGTAGATGGGAGGTTAATCTCAGGCGGGATCTATGGGAGATAGGAGTTGAAGGAGACTGGGTTTTGTTGGCCCAGGACAGGGTCCGGTGGAGGGCTTTGGTTAATTCGGTGATGAACCTTCGGGTTCCGTAAGCCATCTGGTTGGTTGGGTCCACTATTTGGGAAGCCTGAGGGGAAGAGACCTCTGGGGAGACCTAGACGTAGATGGGAGGATAATCTCAGGCGGGATCTATGGGAGATAGGAGTTGAAGGAAACTGGATTTTGTTGGCCCAGGACAGGGTCCGGTGGAGGGCTTTGGTTAATTCGGTGATGAACCTTCGGGTTCGGTAAGCCATCTAGTTAGTTAGTTAGTTGTATTTTGCATTCAATAACTATGGAGGATATAAATATGAAACTTCATATCCTACTCTTCAATTATTGTCCTGTAAATGCCAAAATTACAATGCACATGAATTTGTAATTGTGACAATCTCTTTATATGTCCAAAGTGTCACAGCAGCAGGGAACTCCGTACATAAAATTGCCAGTGCTTAGTGTTAACAGATCGTCCATTACCGGAGTTTGTCAGCGAGTTATGATTAAGCCAGTCAAGCTATGTTAACAGCAATAATACAATACCTGATTTAGTTAAAAACCAAAAGGCCAGGTAAAGGGAAATTATGCATACATATGACAAAACCATTTCACACCTAAGAAGCCATCATCACCCAAACCAGCACAAATCCTGCAGCTGTCATAGCATGCCAACAGGTTAACCAGAATACAGCTTAGGGAAACTTAGGGACAGAATCAGTTACATTAAGAGAAAAATATCTGCAAGATCTCTTGAAACGTATCATGGAACATCACATTTCACAAAAAAGTTTGCAAATTAATTGGTTAACACAATGGGGAAAATTCATACTGATAAAACTTTAGTGCTGCTTATAATTCTTCTACTGTAAATGTTATTAAATACACTATTTCAGTACCATCTATATCACTGTTAACAGGTAGGCTTAACAATCAAACAGTAATAACTGAAATACACACCTATGCATTTTACACCAATTTAGGTACTACCAAAGAAATTTCTTCTAGCATCATATAATTCATATTTTACCAAGTAACAGCTGGGTCAAATTTGATCTGAATTTTTGATCACAGTGCGTCATTATATGGTCTTCCGTTTCATATTAGAGTAATCTCAAGGTACTCTCCCTGCATGTACAAAATTGTCCCCTCCCAAAAGAACAACATTTTTTGGGCTCATAGCCAATGGAGAAATCCAGAAGCAATAGAACTTCTAGGTCAAATTTTATATGCTACTGCATAATCTCCAACAGAAATATCACAATTTATGTTTGCTTTGAAATTTTGTCAAAACTGGTAATTGAAATCATACAACAACAATTCCAGACCACTGACAAACTCCAGACACATAATCACTAGATGTTAAAGACAAAGTGAACAAAATTCAGTTATCAGGACAATTTTTGTCATGACTGACCCCTGAAGTTAGATATAAAGCAAAATTTAAGGCATCACAGTAAACACAAAATGCACTGTGTGTGTGTAACATAATGTACAATTAACAATTTATAACAATATTTATATTTTACAGGTATACAGCTCATACAACAATATACATACATATATTGTAGAAAACTGTTGTGAAGTACAAATTAATTATTAGACAGAATTCTTTGCTAAATTGGGTTATACCATGGTTGGATATATAAATTAAAAGAAGACATTTTTGCAGAATGATTGTTATGCTTTCTCCTCTTGGCAGGCATTCTGTTATGTTCCCGAGCACTTCTACGTTTTAATGAGTTATGCGATGGTGCATAAGAATGATCTACAGATCTACATTCATGAGACAGGTGGCCTCTTCTGGCACAGTTGGAACAAAACTGCTCTTCTTGTGGCTTGTAAAGTATTCTTGGACAGACAGCACCCAAGTCTTTGCTGGTAGTCTGAATCAGAAAAAGTATAACAAATTGAACAATAATGAACCTCTCTTACCACTTTTACAGGCGAGTCAAAAGTATGTTTACAAACTTTGTGTGTGTGTTCCTGGATCAAAAATATGGGAAAATGTTCCTATGAACACATGGTCACAAATACTTCTTTTTCAAAATAATAGTCAAAAATAAGTTTCAATGTATGCTTTTATTGCCAAGTATAAGGACAGGGATGTTTCTTTATAACAGATGCTCAAAGGTTGCTCCTTCATTCTCCACGCATGCCCGAGCACGACGTACACAAGACTGATGGATTCGTTCATACACACCAGGGTTTCCTTGAATCATGTGGCATGTCGTTGTTTATGGGTGTTGCAAAACCGATGGACTTCATGTGACCCCACATATAAAAGTCCAATACAGTCAGGTCTGGTGACCTCAGTGGCCATGCTACTGGGCCACCGCGTCCAACCTGTTGCTGAGGGTACTGTTCACTGAGATGATCTCTGATGCGACGGGAGAAGTGTGCTGGGGCTCCATCGTGCATAAACCACATTTGTCTTCTTGTATTCAGCAGTACATCTTCAAGGAGATGTGGAAAGTGTCTTCTTAAGAATTGCTGATATGAAGGTCCTCTTAGATGTGATGGAAGCATGTGTGGACCAATAAGCACGTCACCAAAAATTCTTGCCCAAACGTTAATTGAAAATCTTTGCTGGAAGCTGGATTCATGTTGACATAAGTCATTCATTGAAACTTATTTTCAGCTATTATTTCGAAAATGAAACATTTGCAACCCCATGTTCATAGGAACATTTTTTCTTATTTTTGATCCTGGAACACGCACACAAAGTTTGTAAGCAAATTTCTGACTCTTCCTGTATATTCTAACACTGTCTTATTTTCAACCACTACATGTTTCAGTCAGCTTTGATGGTTAAATTGAGCTGTGGCCCTTTATGTGTGACATGATTAAAATATATAAAATAAAGATAAGTAGTAAAATAGTAAGTCAAGTCAGTCGCATCTTGCATGCTAAATATTGTCTATAATGATTATGATTAAACAATAAAACAGTGAATACTACAAACACACCTTTCATTAATACCAATAAGGATGTTTGTAGGATGTAGTTCACACATCTGGTTAGTAACAGTGGTGTCTTAAATCTTATATCTTTGGTTGGTTTCAATGAAATAATCCATAAATGTATGCACAATGCAAATTATGCAGCATTTGGTATATTCAATTTATAAATAGATGAAAAGCAAATGTTTTTTCCTTACTGTTGCATGATACCTCCGCCACAATTCTGGACACTCGGAAGGGGGATGATCGACTTTATTACACACACTGCATGGCTGATACAATTTCTTTGGTGATAAACACTCTGGACAGCCATTTCTGTACACCTTAGCAGGCTTGCCACACTAAAATTAAATAACACAATCTTCAGAAAACACCAATGATCATGAATAAACTGTATGCTCTACTTCTTACATTCATTCTTCAGTAATCCACCATTACGAATGCCTTGCCTAAGTACTTAACAACAAAATCTTCAATTCTAATAATTAAAATAATCTGATCTACACTCAGCAGGATTTGAGATTTTCATGGTGGTAAGTCCAAAGATGGCTGCCTTCTGGGTTGTAGTGCCTGCCTCATTATCAGCGCAATGAGCACTCACTCACTTATGGCCCTGATAATAGAGGCAGCAATAACCTCTGAAACACTGGAAAACATCTACCAGACTATAAACAGTGCTACAATAAAGAAAACGTCCATCTTCCAGTCCACATTTGTATATACAATGGTAATTTCAGTAAGATTTATGCATAGAAAAATTCTGGAGCCCAGATTTCTAAATTTTATTTTACAGGAACAGGGGATTTAGATACCTGTACTACAGTGCTGCTGGCCAGATTTTAATGGCAATAGTATGCGACTGCAACAAATTGAGTTGTGTTCTTTTATTCATAAGCCTGTGTCAACAAGCACACTTTATAAGGACCATAATATTAATAATTACTATAATATATAAATTAAAAGATTTTCTTACATTGAGGCAGATTGTTGTGGGACATCTATGTTTAGAATGACCTGTCTTCCCACAAAAAAGGCACACTATAGGTTTTTGACGATCAGGGCAATCCTGAGGAGTGTGTCCCCAAATGTTACAGTTATTGCACTTCTTGCGGTGATCTGGACCTGTTCTTCTGGGTGTGGAAACAATGTCACTACGCAAAACCTGCCAATTGGCAGGATTGTCTGAAAAAACAATATATGTAAATAAATAACTTCAACATATGAAATTTGAGGTATTCACTGCAATGAGATTTCAAACTGCAATCTTCTGAGTACTGATACTGCATAATCTTGTAGTTCCACACTGAAGATAGTGTGACACTTAAAAGCCTTTATTTCTGGTACATCTTCATCTTATTTCAAACTACCAGAATTCCTTCATTTTTCCAAATTGCACTCTTGTTCATAGGACATTCTGTACTGAAGACACAAGTTTAATGTACCATGAAATTTGGCAGACTCTTCCTGAAAAATTCTGTATATAGTGTCACACTTTACTTTCATACACGATCTCTTTTACTACAAAACAAAGCAATACACACTTCAACAACAAATTTATTTCCAACTTATTTTAGTCTAAGGAAATACTTTTCCCACAAGAATGAACATTAATATGTGCAAGCACACCCAGAAACAAATTTAAAATGGGGTTAGAGTATATTAAATGATCAACCATTTATTTTTTATAAACTACAGTGAGGAATTTCCACTTAAGTCTCACTGGTAGATACTAAACTAATACTGCAACAGAACTACTCAGAAAAACATCTGGTTTTCAAATATCAGCCACTGAGGAGTTCACTGTCACATTTGACCGAGTGTTTAATAATATAGAATAATGACGACAATATAATTACAAATTTCTTTGTTATTAAACATGAATAAATAGACACAAGGCAAATATTTCTTTTTCCCCTGACAAATCAACAAACTTGATCAACAATGGCTTCAGCCTCAATATGACCTTAACTTTTACTGTACAAGGGAATATAAATTTTTGTACTATGGGGCTGCCAGTCAGAGTTTAGCTCCATGGTTAACAGTTTAGCAATATGCTAACATGACACAGGTACACCATGCTTTAACTACACTCACATATATGGTTACATGGTAAGATGCTTAGCCACAGGACAGTTTTCAACCTACAGGTACTGAATGTTTCCAATAAAATACTTAAGACTCTTACCTGACATATATTTCTGCAACTGACGAACATCAAACTTTTCACCTCCCCAAGAATCATTGTAGAAATGGGACATATCTTTAGACCAAGACTTTGGACATATAAACTTAGAAGTTAAAGATGAAGTCTGAAACACTGAATTTAAACTTCTTTCAAGATATCCTCCATTCTCTGCTACTTTCTTCTGTTTCTTTTTCTTTCTTCTCTTCTTCTCTGAATTTTCTCTTGTACCATTCAGCACTACTGTGGCAACACTTCCTACACTTTCTGTGTCACTGTCAGTAACAGCAGGCCATACCGCACTTATATTAATTTTGTCACTAGTATAGAGCACAACAATGTCATCCTCCACTGACACTTTCTTCGGTCTTTTTTCATCTGGCATATTATTCAGTGCCTCCTCATCTGAACTAAGGGACACAACAGGTGGTGGATCACGTACTGGGGGCTCTACTTCCACCACAGACTCAGTGTCACTATCACTGCTATCTAAAACTATTACAGATTCCTCAACAGAATTTTGTTTTTCCTTATTCAAACATAAGTTATACTTTGAAAATTTGCCTTCTAATTGTTCATGTCTGTTATCTCTCAACTTGTTTCTTACCTCACAATTCCATTTCTTATTTCTGTCTCCATCATTTAATATGTCCTTATTATTGGAATTTTGAGATTTTGAACATTTACTTTTATCATATGTGTAATTATTAAAATGACTATTATCAGTGGAACTGTTGATATAAGTGGATGCACTTCTGAGCACAGAAGTATGCTTTTCAACAGCTATTGGAACACTATCCTGAAAGAAAGAATTAGATACTGTAACTGCATTTTTACCCTTTTTGCTTTCCACATTTGATGCACTTGAAAAACCAGTTTCCTTCTCAGTTATATTTCTGCATCTGTATTCTGCATAAGTCTTCTGTAAATTTTGTTCCTTAGCCGCAGTTGATTGCTTACAGCTTGACCTAGCTTCCTTATAAGCATGTAATAAACTAGAATAATTATTTTGAATTTTTTGTTCTTCTCCTGGCCTTATTACTCTTTTATTTTTTGAACCACTGCTTAATGTAGCTGTTCTTCCATTATATGGTGGTTCATCAGAAGTGTCAGGAAGGCTCTTAACCATATCCCAACGAGAAACTTTACTCCTTTTACTTTGGTAAAATGAGCTAACAACTTCAGATGAACCACTTTGATCTACAGACATTCTCTCAGATGATGATGAGCCTGGCAAGCGATAATTTTCTTCTAATTGATTCTCCCCAGAATAATGTAACAAGCTATATAAATATGTCTCATAATCACTGTCATCGGTGCTACTTCCTGACTCCATGTGAGAATGAAAATCCTCTTCTGTGAGCAAACTCTGAAATAATACATAAGTAATATAGAACATGTGATATGTGAGTAATCAAGTCAATGTGAGATTTCAGGTTTTCACAGCAGCAAGTATCAAGATGGTTATCTTCTGGGTTGTTGCACTGTGTAGTCTGGTAGAAGTTTGACATTTAGTCTACAATTATGTCTGAGGTTGGTTCAAGGAACAAAAAGGTGACTACACACACATATGACGAAGTTATCAAGGTTCATAAGGGTAATAAAAAATATGATACCAAGTCTTTTAGAGTAAGCATGACATACAGATTCAGATCACAGAATAATACAAAACCTGGTAGTAATGTGAAGATGAGGTTGAACCAACACTAGCATCACTTGCTGTAGTATCCAGAAAGAATATTTTCTAGTTTTTATGAAGGATTTAAAAAGAAAATTATATAAATATACTGTGAACACTAGAATTTTACGGCTATTTATTACTCTACGTCCTATTCCAAATTAATGTTCCCCACAAACTTCCCTAAGCTTGTGAAACCACCCATTACGAATACTTGCACAGCTCCACATTTTGAGATAATTATGAAGGAGAAATTACTGACAACATGCACCATTCTAAATACCCTTACAAACAACGTAAATATTACTAAAAGATATTTTCACTACCAAGAACTGCAAATTGCAAAAAGTAACCCATCTCGTTCTGCTTCTAAATTATACACGTGGTTTTTCCTTTATTTCATTGGTGAGCCATAACTGAATAAAATTCACAACATAACATCAGTAACACATGTAAAACTCTCTCAACATATTATTGAAAGTGGGCTATCGAAGAAACAAACTTACTCATGAGTTTGTGAAATGGAAATCACAGCACACACCAAAACACAATTTAACCCTTCATTTCAAAGTTTAACTGACGACTCATCACCACAACATGGCACAACATACTTTTCTTTGGAAAATGGAGTGTTACACAGATTACGTTGAAGCAGACACGAACAGATGACTGACTAAAGCATAGTTCTCACTGCCATCTATTGCGTGCTTGGCAATAGCATTTAGATGTTTTGTGGATGTGCTTTCTCTCTCGAAATGTGGTGTTCTATCGACGGAGAAAGATTTATTAAGGGAATATCGCAATGACGAGCTGAAAAGTATGGTGAAGACTGACCAACCAATCTAAATATTTACTCAAAATGCCCAATTCTCATCCGACATTTGTTGTTTGGTCGGTGAGGACATTATTACACGCTACCATCTTTTTCCCCTGCAGGACTGCGTTTAAATTATTATCTATGTTAATCATAGCATTTTAGTTACTGATTAAAACAGACCATCTAGTAATGACTTATTAGTACACGACATAACCCTTACATTACAAATAAAAGGCAAAGAAAATTAATGTTTTCTGGGATTGTGCGCCGTGTAGCGCGGTGGAAATTGATCGACGTTTCAGAGGTTCTTACTGCCTACATGATCAGGGCGATCCATAAGAGTCGATAACTTTCTACGAGACTACACGGCGCATTAAATCAGAAGATAGTCATATTCGACCAAAATCGTTTATCTCAACTTACTTGTTTCAAGCAATGTATAGGCATAATTTCATATTTAAATGCAGTTCAGGGACCTTTGCATTAGCACAGGCAGCATTGGCTATTCATATCTTTATCGATGGCTGCGAAAACATATCATGGACAGTAAGATAAACTATTTAATTAACTTACAGAGTTTAATTGGTATTCACTTGAAAAATGATAATTGTCTATTTCTCCACACAAATTTTTGAAAAGAAAAAACTTTAACTCAGTATGTCACTAGAACTCTCATTGGACATAAAAGTAGCTTCTAATAATGTCTCAACTCATGGTGGCCCAAAATTACCCCACTTTATTGTTCATCATATTTATGAATGATCTGTATTCTTGGAATTGACATGTAACATTCTTCCATAAAACAAACTGATATATGACCATGTGTGGAGGTTCTGTATGTTGCTTGCTAGTGGTAAATTATTAGATTATAGCTTTGAAATAAATGCAACTTTATTACATCCAAAAATGTTACACATTACAAAAGTTTTGAGGTGAATTTAATTAGTACCACCTATTAAATGTATATTGCAAGTCCAATAGAGAGCATCACATAAACACACATTGGAATTGTGACATTTAGTTTGCCTTCTCATATTTCAAAGAAAAACATATTTTATATTATTTGTGAGTAAGTTATCTGATTACTTCTTACACACATTTTAATAGCTATAAATTTACGAGACTGCAGTTAAACAAGGAATTTGCAGAGTATTCACTTGTAGAGTTGTGAATATTTGTTTTGCTTTGATACTGGCATTAAACGTGTTACACTTGGAATATTATTTATGAGAATGTAGAACACAGCTTTAGAATTTTATTAAAAAGTTATATGGAGTATAAATTCTAATGGGACTGCCATTTTGTTTGGTACATGAGATGGAATATGCCTGGAATTTTTTATTTTATGTCGTAAGTGTATCTTTATTGCTACACATTTTTGCCACCATATTGAAATCTATTTTAAACTTTTAGGCAGCACTTATAATCGGTAATTATTGTTTTAGAATTCTGAATCTTGGAAAGGGTTGGAATAAAATACATTTTCTTTGTGTGGATAATTATTGTTATTAATATTGGAATTTTTGTATGCATTATTCCTGACTATGGTAAAATTTTATTTCATTTAATGAATACCATTTAAAAGTAGGAAATTAAATTGCTTGTGACAATGATATTCAAAAGCCAAAACCTATTTGCTAATAAGTGAGTCAACAAAATATGAAGCTGTAAAGAGCATTAAACATTTTATGTTTACATACATATATAACATGAATAAAAGTAACAATATTGGCAGTCAACAGAGGACTTGGTTTGGAATGTAGTGTTCTTGAGAGAGGCTGGGAGTTCATTAAAATTAGTGTATTAACTATGAAGATTAATATTCCAAAGACAATAATCATTCCATTTCTTACTAGCATATAATTACTGGAAAAACTTAGTTTGAATATTATTTAAGGTCTTCATAGTGACTGGCCTGTTCCTCTTTGTTGTCTCATAGATACTGACTGATGTTTCAGAGGTGCTTACTGCCCTGATAATGGAGGCAGTAAGCACTTCTGAAATGTCAGTATCTACCAGGCCATACAGTGTAACATCTTAGAAGATAGCCATATTTGTATTGTCATACTGTTTCATCTTTACTGCACGATGATTTTGTGTGTAATTTCTTAGGGCAAATGAATGACCTTATACTTGTGAACTAAAATAGTTTTATTTACATGTATAAACATAAAAATTTGGTTTACTGCTTATCTATCAATTATATTTCTTACCTAAATAGTGGGTTAATGCCTTCACTAAATTAGGGTGGTTTTAAAATGCACGTGTCTGAATATTTTCTGCTATTCATATTTTATTTTCACAATATGTAATTTTTAAGGTTCTTGCAAGTAATACACTTTTAATTAACATATTTGTAACCTATATATCTCTGCTTTTATATATACCAATATTTAGACAGATTTTAGGAATATGTACAGAGTGATCACTTTTTGTAGTATGCAGGACAAGTGACATAACACCAGTAATGGGCACTATAAGTAACAACTGTTGATGTGTCGGTAAAACACTGACTCAGTCCAAGAAAACATTTTGTACACCTGAGTTCCATTCCACAGAACCTGTGATCATTGTTAAAATGGTATTTTTTGGAGTAAATTTGATAAAAATCTTCCATATGCAAATTTCACACAATTTCTTAGGTTGGGTCACCATTTTACTGCCATATGCTATTATGGATATCATTGTAGTCATGCCACTTCTCCGTACTACAAAAATGTTTTTGAAGTTCTCCTTCCAGTGGTTTAAATTTAATTTTTGTATGCCATTCGGTTTTTGTTAAATAAACATTTAAACTGCTCAGACCATTTGTGTTCATCCTCTACATGCACACACAATATACAAACACTCATACAATGACGTTATGGCATTATGATTCTTGGCATACTTCTCATTGAAGTCTTTACTTTATCCTTTACCTCCAGTGAGGTCAATGGGATGCAGATTCAGAGTCCCCAGTGTTATTGACTCTCCACTTTACAGCTGACATAACAACCAATTTTGATCGTCATGAAAAATTCTGTCAAGTTTGAAAACACAAACACATGTCATAATTGCCAATTTTATGACACAGTTCTGAATATCTTTTTTATTGTTTTGTTTGTCAGTCCTGTTTCATAGGTTTAGTTAATGGTGTGGATGATTCTAAATTAAAATGTTAGACTCCTTGGGTGGGCAATTATCTTACTCCAAGGGCCTCTTCCTACATGGAAGGATGTGGCCATAGTTCATTGTAGCATAATTTGAACCCATAAGCTGTGTCTTGTCAAATATTGTATAATAAAAGTTCATGTCTAATTCTACATCACCTATGTAATATAAAACTACTGTACTGTACTGTTTGTCTTGCATTGTGTTGAAGACCATTTATTATAAGGATATTTTTTGCTGTGCATGCCAGCTGATATTGTTAGTTGCAAGGAAATTCTGCCAATGTGGCATCACAATATGTATTTCTGTACAGAATATGTATTTATATTCAACACTATAAATATATGAAGGGAAACAATATACTCTTTTGAAAACAGAAAGGTGCACTGGCAGTTTTTGCAAGAAATTATATAAACAATAATAGATATTATCAAAGAATTATAACTAATTAGCTAACTACATGGAGTTGAGTTCTCCTTGAGAGGCAAATAGTCACTCAGTTAGTTAAAAACTTCTTACCTTTCATGAAACACAAAAGTTCATTGCCATGTTCAGAAGAACCCAAACTGATACCTATCTTTAGTCACATGACTCCATGTCCACTTTCTTATACCCTGGTCCTTTAAAATCCATTTTAATATTATTCTTTGTCTCCCAAATGGTCTCTTTTAATAATTCCCAGTTAAAATTTGATATATATTTTGATTTTGCCCATGAGTTCTGTAGGTCCCACACATCACCATAATAATTGGTGAAGAGTACAAACTTGATCTCTCATTAATAAATTGTTTTTGCCTTCCTATTATATCCTCTCCCTTAGGTCAAAGCATTTTCTTCATAACCCTTTTCTCAAAACCCTAAATCTAATTTATGTTTTTAGATATGAGTCAGAGATAAAAAATTGATGGCAAGCATTCCTCACATTTAATCTTCTCTTAATTTCTTCTTGAATGTTTTGATTTGTTCCTGTCATTCTCAGATATTTGGAGACGTTATAGAAAGCAAAAAAATATTTGGAATAAATAAATACATTTATTTTCACAAAGACAAAGGATGAAGAATTGATTGACTTGTGTTAATAATTATAAGATATTACCCATTAAAGGGTTAAATTCAAATTTCATATTTAATTTCTTGGAAAACTGCATGAACACTCTGTGATCATCACATATAGAGAAAAAGCATGTGCTCTTGACACAGCTTAATTCATTTGAGAGTCTAGAGAGCTACAGTTACATCAGCCTGCTTTATTCGATAATTTACCAACCTTACCTTCGTATGACTAGAAAATGATCAGTTGTTAAGAGAGCTAAATAAGGTCACTTCTGGAATCGTGCTCTGATATGATTCATTTTGATTTATTTCAGACTTGAACAAATGTTACTTTTCACAAAACAATTTTCCAGAATCTTCACTTACAACATTCTGTCCTCTCTTCCCACCAATCATGATATGTGAATTACAAGCATTTTTGGTCATGGAATCTTGCATCTGCCAATACATCCCCTATAAGGTAAGTTCAAGACAATTTACCACTAAATATTGTACACAAGTTGCCTTTCAATAAAGACGAAGGATTTAAAAGCTGAAGAGTCAGGGAAGATGGACATTTATTAGTGAAGGTAAATTCACTATCTCCAAAATACACTTCTGGCAAGATTTTAATAACCTCGGATATTTCTCTCACTCTCTGTTCATCCCCCAAATAGCTGCAGTACACAAAGATGAGGCCACCAGTGCTATCATACAGAAATAATATCTTCCGTAATTTTATGAAAGCAAACTTTACATTATATGCATGAAGTCTACTTTAGAATTTACATCTATAATGGGACAAAAATACAGACATTCAGGTATGGAGACTACTAAAGACCTCTACTGAAAAGTACTACAATCTGAATTGCTGTCAGCAGTAAGGCAGTTACTCTGATACATCCACTGGCACTGCTGGGTTCATGTTCTGGAATGTATCCTGTCTTGTCCATCATCCAATAGAAACCTTTCATACGATGCTGCCGCTTGAGTTCTGCTCCTACTAAAGTTCGTACTTTTGCATTGTAGTCATTCAACCATTGTCGCTGTCAGAAACAACAGATCATCAATTTTATATTTTCCTTATTGAAACATGAGAATAAAGCATCACTTGTAACAAACAAAAAATGAGTTCAATAAAACAACGCCTGTGCAAAAGATCACAGTTGAATGATAGCACTACTGTTTGTAATTGGCATCTCCCAAGTTAAAAATTTTAAATACTGACCTGGATGCCAGCTATCCTGACTATGGATTTTTATAGTTTTCTTCAGCCTCTCCAGGCAAGTATCAGTATAGTATGTTTAAATAGGCTGTGACTACTTCCCTTTACATACCTTCAAATATATCATCCACAAATCATGGATCATTCAACACTGCATAACTTTTGCAATTGAAAAATCAGTTAACCTAGGAGATGGTGGGAGTTGCTTATACATTTGTAATTATGAAGGGCACTTTACAAGAACTATGTACTAGTCCAATGTATTCATATTGTCAAATCTTATCGGGAAATCAAATACTGATTCTCGTGTTACTCTGAAATATTAGTGCCTTTATGATCACACAACTAGTAGAACAGTTTCAGACAGACAAAAATATAAACATGATTTTAACTCTTTCCATGCTGTATATTTTGTTAAAGAAACCGTGTTCTATTTAGTACATTTTCGTGGCAGTTTGTAATTTTATAATTAAAAAGCCACAAATAGTTGACTGTTGACAAATGGTATGAGAATTTTACAGTGAAAGCTTTAAGTCTTACGCAGCAAGAAAATTGTGTTTAATTTGTTGTGTCAAACATCAAACTTAAGACCCACATTTCTAATTAAGCTATCTCATGTGTAACAGAAAAGTTAATCCCCACATGACTTCTAACTCACTAAATGAGTCTGTACTGAAAAGCAACATTTTATAATTTGTGGAAAACTACATGCAACTTGAAAAACAAATTACTTTATTCTTGCCTAATATATAACTCACATGTTGTGGATTCAACATCTTAACATTTATTAGTTTCGGTTCATATGGAACGTATGTTACAGGTAGGAAACTGAAGTACTGCCCCTCAAAGTGGTGCTGTAAAAAAAAAAAAAAGGAATAAAAATACCAAATATTAATATTAAATGCAAAATTCAACATTGTTCAAAATACATTCAAGGTTTCAAATAAATTACAAAATATTTCAGTTTATTAAATGATACAAAATTAGTGTTATAGAAAGAAGAATTTTTTGGCATTTTTTATAAATGTATGGCTAAGTCAGTCAAGAATGGAATGAATCTTTGGTGCTCATTAAGTACATCTGCAGGAAATGCAAGAGACAAAATTAATTTAATTCATTATTTGTTTATATTTTTCTGTTGATCCCACATCCATTAAGAAATGTACACTGAAAGCAAAGTAACAATTAAATATGGGAAATCATGTACCATATCTAGAACTAGTTAAATCTTCAAATTCTGTTTCTCTAAGATCCATCTGAATATTATTGCCCCATCTATGCCTTGGTGTACATGGTCATCATTTCCTTTTATGTTTTCACCCTAAAATTTTGTATGCATTTCACATCTTCCCCATGTATGTTACATGTCCCATCCATGTTATCTATCATTTCATTTCACACTGCTCTTTGCTGCCAAGTACTTAGCACTCCTTCATATTCCTGAGGTTCCACATTAAAATCTCAGACCAGAGACTGGCTGGGCCACCCAGATTGGGCCATGACTGCTTCTTTCCATACATTTTTTAGTTCATTATTCATCCTATTGTTTGACACTGTTTAGTCTGTGCTACTGACAGCATCATTAAATAAAACAGATATACACAAGCCATATTTGGTTTCACTTAATCTCTGAAAGGTACTGCTGGAAGATCTTTAGAACGTATGTACAGAAGGAAAAACCAACAGATAGAATAAGAAATTAAATATTAGAAAGAATGTGAGGAAAGCAATTGAACAAATAATAGAAAGACATCTGGACATATTTTAAGAATGAATGAAAAGAGAATTCCAAGGAAGGATTTGAACAAGAAAGAAAAATATATAAGCCTAACTAGGGAAGAGACCAAAATGAAGACAGGAAGAACAGTTTATGAAGATATCGCACAGAATAAAGGAAGGCTATGGAAAAAACAGGATGAGGACTTGCAGGCAGACTGGGATAGTTGAAGAGGTTTGGATGTCAGACAACCCACTTAAAGTGAATAAAAGGCAGAAGGGCCTGCTTGCATAGGTGCTTCCCTCTGCTTCAAAATCCTTGCTTAAGAAGATTTTTGGATTTGTGGATTGAAGTGAAGCTGCTTCTAAATATTATTGTCAAATAAATTTGTCTTATTGACAAAGATCCGTGTTAAAACGGAGTATAATAGATGTGGAGGTAAAATTACAGACATCAGCATTAGACAGTCAATTTCACTTTCCTATTGGCTGGTGGGTCCAAGAAAATTTTTGACATGATAATTGAAATATATTATGATTTATTTGCTTTTGTGTATTTATTTAAAGCCTGAGTTCAGAGTAGTTTACTATTTCACCTTAGTTTGCTTCTTCACAACTTCTAAAACATTCTCAAGTCGAACACCAAAATGACCTTCATGATAGTAGCCAGGCTCTGAAAATAAGAATACAGACAAAGGCTTCAGTGACATTAAATATAAAGGCAATGATACTGCTATCCACATATCTAAGCACAGTACCTTGAAGAAACATAGCAATGTAGATAAAAACGTTTTGCATTCCCAGAACATGAGACTAGGAGGTGGACAATAACTACACGCAGCAGGAAAATCAGCCAAATTTTCTATTAGTTATGAGATGCACAGATCAGATCTGCTCCAGTAAAGGGACAGAATTGTCACCACTAGTTTTGGTAGGAATCAAACACTGCCCATCTATGCCCATAATTCTTATTTATTGAGCTTTATTGGCTCTAATATAATTTTTTTATATATTATGTATTTTGTTGTACAAAGACATTGTATTCACCTATTCATCCATCTTCTGTCAGTGCAATGTGACTTAATAACCAAGACACATTCAGACTACATTTTACACAGGGACATTTTAATTAAATATGCCAATAAATTCCAATTTTGATTAAAATTTAAAATAATAACCACTTTATAGGAAGATTTACATGAATCTTTAAGTACCAGTATCTTGATAAATATTCATGAAGCATTTTTTGAACAAAATTTATAGGAAATATTTAAATACATCTGTTATATGAAATATATGAATGTCGTTGATAAATAAACATAAAATATAACACGATTAAAAAATAATGTTATCCCCATTGGCATATTATCACAAGTTAAGGGATAACTTGTTTAGTTAACATTACTAACTTAATGTCCTAAATGTCACTAGATAATGGAAAATGCATGCTACTTATTGGCAACAGGTATAGTATTCTCTTATGCAAATTTTATATATTTTTAAAATTATATGTAACTGCTTGAATAATTATGAATACTGACATTCTTATAAGACATAAACAAATTATTATTCTGTGGGTTTAATTCTTTTCTGATCTCTGCATACTCATTATCTGCAGTTCTGTATATTATCATATCTAATGGGTTGTCAGTAGGTCCAGGTACCACAAAAGAAAATTTATATGATTATGTATTTATTTAAAATTCTGGTTCAAAGTTGTTGATACTGAAACTGTATGCATAGTTGTTAGTCTCGACCTAGCAGGGATGAATTAACTGGAGGATGGAGAAAATTACATAATAAGGAGCTTCATAATTTGTACTCTTCACCAAATATTATTAGGGCCAACAAATCAAGAATGAGGTGAGTGTAATGTATAGCAGGCATAGAACAATAAGAAATGCATACAAATTTGTAGATAGAAAACCTGAACAGAGGAGGCCAATTAGAATGCCTATGGGAGCAGATACAAAGGCTATGAGGATATGGACTAGATTCATTTTGCTTAGAATAGGATACAGCGGCAGACACTCATGAACATAGTGATGAAGCCGAGTTCTATATAAGCACGGGATTTTTAAAAAGTTGTGGATCTGTAAGCTTCTTAACAATAAATGTGCTTTGTATAGTTAATTAGTTTGGTTTACTGTGTACTCACCATCTGAGAAGAAATATCCTTCTTGGAAAGTCAAATTCCCTGTAGTATATGAAATAGTAATAGGTGCTATAAAGGGGCCAAAAATAAAACAAAATTAAATCACACTGACTGAGTTGGTTAGAGGATGAATGAAGAATATTCTGCTAGTAAGTATCCAGAAAACCAGTAAGTGATAGGAAAAGTATGTGCTGCTCGATGTATTAATACATCTGCTCAACTAATAGCAATTTTATTCAATTAACAACTTTATTTTAGAATATACTTTGCTGACAATAGAAATATGTTGGGCAAAATCATTTATAGCATTAAGAAACACACAGAAAACTCTACTATATGCTCGTAAGGAGCATAGTATAGAAGTAGGCACATAGGATACTAAGTATATGAACATCTCTGTTCCTCAGATTGCAATGAAAAATCATAAGAGAGATTAGCTAATAAATTGTGTGCAAATAGGGCAAATGTAAAATAGTAGTAACAAATGGAAATTACATTCATGAAGAAGTTAAGAGAAGTTCTCCATTATAGCATCTTGTTTATATATGTGTGTATAAAACAATATTAGGTATTATTATTATTATTATTATCATCATCATCATCATCATTCTGTCTACATAGGTTTCTTTATTTATTACATGATCTTCATGAATATAGTGGTAATTTTCAGGTTATTTTTATATGATCTGGCTTATAAACTACTTCATATAAATCATGCATATGTTGGTCTTATCAATGAGTAATACATCATTGGTGCATAATAATATCATACCATTTTTGTAAAAGATATATGTTTAGCATTAGAAAATTTAAAATTAAAAATAATCACTTTTTATATTAATTCCAATTATGTGTTTCCTGTTTACTTTTGAAACTGAAAATCTTTTAGCTAGTTATATGTGATTTTAGCAAAATACAACTTAAGAAATAAAAATAAACTGTTGTATTTGAGCTTTTAAAGAACAGAGTATTTCATCAACTACAATATTTCTGTTCTTGTTGCTTGACTCCTTGACTTTTATGTCTGTTGTAAATTATTTATTCATTATCATGATCTTATCTTTATAATATATTCTTATATATAAACAGCAGTATCTGAATTGCTGCTGTGTTTTTCTCGGATTTTCTTTCATTTATATGAGATTATGCTGTACGTTGGTGATGACTTATACTTTGTGTGGTGTTGTATACACTGCTCAGTCTACACAACAACCCAAAACAAGTCATCTAGTCTATTGTCCGCAAGGCACGAGAGTAGACCTGACATCTTTGAGGGAGGTGGGGTAGAATTCTGTGCTACTAGTGGACTGAAAAACACCCGCAGCTTATACAGGCCGTACATCATAAGCTAATGTACTGACACTGATAGCACAATATTCTTAGGTAAGGAATACATCACCAGCACATGCGCAGAACCCACGTTCCGCCTGCCACACAAGCAACGGCTGACAAGGCCACGTCTACTCTCGTGGGTCGCGGACAATACCTACAGTTTTAAGATAATATATAAAATATGGGTATTAGTATACAAACTTTTACAGTTATCAGTAGTTTTTAGGCCAAATCTCAGAAGAAGAGCTTCTCACCTTCATGAACACTGAGGAAAGCCCCAACACCATGACCAGTTCCATGGAGGTAATTTAACCCAACCTCCCACAGTGGGCCACGGGCCAGAACATCAATACTATTCATGGGGACATCAGAGGGAAAAACAAGTGATGCCAATTGGATGGAACCCATCAGTACACGTGTGTATGCTTCACGTTCAAAATCTGTCGGAGTTCCTAGATGAATTGTACGTGTTACGTCTGTTGTACCATCTGAAAAATGAAATAATTTTCTTTCATTCAGCTATATGAGGAAATATTTGGCAGCAACAATTTTTTATAAATACAAGAGAAAAGTTCAAAGGAATCATGGTACTGGTAATTATTCCTACCTAGATAATGTCCACCAGAATCCAACACCAACATACTGCTGCCATCAATTAGGAGCACATTACTACTATCAGATGGTAAGTAGTGAGGATATGCTCCATTTGGCCCAAAGCCTGCAATAGTAGAGAAACTGGGACCTTTTGAAAGATTTTGTTCTCGGCGAAATTGATCCAGCTCTTTTGCAACTTGCAGCTCATCCCATTGTTCACCTGCAGCTGTCTGAACAAGTCAACAATGATCAAAGTGATATGAGACAGAACAAAATGGGGGAGACAAAAAAGAGTTATATATGAAGAAATAACAGCTTAAAGTCTAATCTGATTATAATACTTAGAGGTGGGCTGTATTTTAATCCATAATCTCAGAGTCGGTTACCCCTGAAAACCAAAATTAATAACTGGCATTTGTGGAGTACAAGTTGAAGATTAATGTTCTATAGAAATATGAGGCAATGAATCAATGTGACAAACTCACCGATTCTTCAAAGTGGGCAAAGAAATCACAAAGAGCAACTGCGTCTCGGATGTGTGCCCGTCTCATGCCATCTATCTCGATGTGGTTCTTGCGTGCTTTCATGAATATGATGGGTGAAGACGTGACCAATTGTTTCCCTGGAGGAATCTGCACATAGGATCTGCACCATGGGTTAATACTGCTGAAAGATCTGGGCAAGGTCCCACACTATTCCTATGGGATTCTTCAGCATCAAATACATATCTACATTTATATTTTTTTCTTGATTACAGGTAACTCTGTATGATACTGACAGGGCCACATGTCATAAATCCTGAAGAGTTTACACCTTCAACATTTTTTTACTTCTAAAATTGTTGGAAGTATAGTTGTTACTTGCCTTTAAATTGTTACAGATATATTAGTATCTCTAAATATACATATTTATGTAAAGTAAATTCTGAATCACTAATAAATAAATAATATGTAATTTTGGCATCTTTGAGCCTTGGACTTACTTTCCATCTTGGGGTGATAGAAGTTCTAAATTTGCCTACTTTGTGTTGCTGTAGTGAAGACTAATGACAGGCAGCAGAGGTAGTCAGTAATTGAAGGATATTCCTTTACTTGACTTACATTATACTTAGTTCCTTTGTGAAATATATTGCCTTGGACTTGAATGTAACTCAGTTTCAATGTAAACAACTAAGTCTTACCGCTGAATAGATGGCTCGGCTGGCCCCAGGTGAATTATAACACTGTGAAGGAAGCAGAACTTTCTTCCACTTCTGTTGGTTAGTTTTTAAGTCACCAATCAATGCATCATAACTGTAAACCCTGCAAAGATTTAAATAAACATAAATCGTTAGAAAACCCTTATCATATATTATAGGAAGAAAAGGCTGTTTTGTTTTGTGTTTTACATTACAAGTAGTTGTCCAAAAAATGACTGCCATAAATTCATTCTTTCTTTCTCCCTTCCTTCATCCTTCCCTCCACTTTTAGTGTTGAAGCTCCGCCAGTGATTGAAGTTCCTTACTATAATTTAAGAAATGAGACCAACACATCTGGTTACATTAATCTAAACTTTGTGATTATTCACATGTTTTATATCAGAATGAGTAATGATCTCAATAGAAAAAATTTGAAAATTGTGTTTGTTCCTTATTTACAGTCCTATTCAATAAAATGTGCAAGTAAAATACTGTGTTATGTACTTCATTTACCTATAAGACTACAAATTAAATTTCAAAGTGTCCAATGAGACTCATTCAACTTACTGAGTGCAGTGTTCAGAATAGCAGTTCACTGATTTAAGGTGAGCCTTTACTTGTAAGCCGAGTTTGCTCTCATTCACATACAAGTTCACAGAGTCAGGTGTCACAGTGACATACGCATGCACCATGGGGTTGAAGGGAACATCGTATCCTCGTATATTGAGTAGCCATGCTACCTCATCCAAAGCCGTAACTACTATTGCATCAGCTCCTTCCGCATCAAGCTTTGCTCGCAAGTCTTTGACCTTGTCCTCCCATTTCCTGCCTGAATATCAAGAATCAAATTGTAACTGAAGTTATGACACACCAAATAAGACAGATACAATTAAATATATCCCCTGATATACGCATTTTGAAACAAGAACTCTACTTCTTTTTCAATTGTACAAATCAGAGTTGATACTGAATTGCATATTTGTGACTACGTGAAATGACTGACGATTTTGTAATTCAATGTTTCTAATGGGAAGAATTTATTAATGTAGACATGTGGTGGCCTCTAGTAGGACACAATCTTCATATTTATTTTGGTAAGATTTGAGGTTTTCACAACGGTGAGTATGAAGATTTCTATCTTCTGGGTTCTTGCGCTGATGACGGAGGCAGTGTGACCTCTGAAATGTTGGTAAACATCGACCAGACTACACGGCGCAACAACACACAAGACAGAAATCTTCATATTTATTTTTGTTTATGGTTCACTATTTAAGCCACTACAAAAGTAACCACAAAAAGTCGTCATTGTTCATTTTTGGTTTATTTTATACCTAAGTGTTTATATGACCCTGGCACAGAAGAAATGTAACTGCCATGATTTAGTTCAGTTTAATCTCACATGTAGTTGCTTTATATTTGACTTCAACAGTAGACACATTATGTCACTCTCAGTCAAAGATATACAATTATGGCTGCTCTATATTCTTCTCCCCGTAAGCTAAAATGAACATTGTAATGACACGTAATCAAATATTTTCACATTTATTCACCTGAAAATCTTTCAGCCAGTACATAAGCTTCGTACTCTGGATACGGTGGTCTTCCAGTAGTAGAATTCCAAATTCTGTCAACAGGGTTTTCAAATACTTCTACAAGGCTGATGCTAGAATCTCCTGTAAATATTATAAAATTAGAATTATAAATATTGAATAATAGAAGCTGTCAGCATTCTCACTTATTTAACATGTAGGATGTATTCACATTGCAACTCCTGCTTAAGAATTGTAGACGAATCATTTATATTCTGTAATTAACTTCTTCTACAACAACAAAAAATACAGGAAATTTCTTGACTCAATCATTTTCACCTTTGGTTGTCTCTTACCAATCTTTGAAGCCCATTTATTCCATATACTATTAGGTACAAGTTTTGGATCTGCTCCAATCTTTGAATTCTCTGGCAGTATGTCTAAGAGCCAATCCATGAGATGAGGCACTCCAGGTTGACCAATACGCATCAGCAACCAGTCGCACGATAGCTGTATATCAGCTTGCAGGAAGTAACGCCCATCTGTCCACAGTGCTGCACCCCATTCTCTTGTAACTACAGCGATTCCATCACTGCCCGAGAAGCCCGAAATGTATGTGTACCGGCGATCTCGATGTGCTGGAAACTCGCTCTATCCCAAAACAACAGAGATGACTGAAGAAGTATTAGTCAGCACTGCTATATATGTTTTCTCCTTTATTTGATATTAAATTCAAGTACTGGGGTCCGCAGTGGTCGCGCGGTCTGAGGCGTGGGCCTTGTGCCGCTTGGTCGCTGGAACCGTGGGTTCGAATCCCACTAAAGCCATGGATGTTTTTCTGTGTTGTGCTGTCCTGTGTACAGGTAGATGCCTTGCGACGGGCCGATCCCTCATCCAAGGAGTCCTACCGAATGTCTACAGATCGAGCCAACGCAAAGTTGGGACCCGCAGTGCTCAGACACTTGAAGAACGGGTCGATCCCAGTATCCAGTAAATTCAAGTACTGAATATTTAAAATAGTCTTATTTATAAGAATTTGTTTCCTTGAGACTTATGGAAAAGATAATATTTTATACATCATTCAGAAAGTCTATAGAGTGAACATAAACATATTCTGAGAAGTTAACAATACAAATTCTATTTGTCACTCCCTGGATAAGTTCTCGTAATTGTGGTCACTGCAGTGTCTGTTCCTTAGAATGAAACAACAGGCAGTAAAAATATCAGGAAAATAGTAAAGGAGGTGTATAGTGATATAAATTGCAGTCATTTATTGCCATTAAGACAGTGATTAATGATATACTGTAATAAACAAGGTTTTGAATTTATTATGCCCTTTGCTATAACTGTCGCCTCATTGCGAAGTACGATATCCACACACTACGTGTCTCAGCCTCTTTGTGTTTTAAGATTTGCAAACTTACAGTGAAGAGGACTGACAGATTTTGAATATGAAGCAGTTCACTGAGAAAACATACTTTTATTGATAGAACTAGTTGGTCCATTATCTTACCTGATGCCCATCATCCCTGGTGATAATGAAGGCATCCAAAGCCATTGCTTTAAGACGTGTCCTTAATTCCTTTAATTGCCTTGACGTGTCAACGCGACCTGGAGGTGGAGCTTTGGAAGGTGAGCAGCTGTTTCTCTGTCCTATCCCAAATGACATGCTGAAGCCTGCATATATCAGCATAACGAATACTGCAAATTAACAATACGCAGTGATTAGAACAACACTCCCCACTCCTCCTGATTTGAAGAGACTTCTAAGCACAGCCCGGAAATCCGGGGCAACACCCTAGTGGCTGTAGACACGTCTAGCAAATCCAGCCAGAGTCGATCAAAATAGTTCCTTCAGCTTCTGAAGCAGCAGATGTGCAAACATAGCACTATACAGTTTATGCAAAGACTTCCTTCTTGTACACATGCTATCTTCGCGGTGTGAAGTCCTCCATAAAAGGCTGATAGTTGTTCAGCTGGTCAAGATATTCCCATTTGAAACACAGGGACCCACCAATGATTTTAATCCGAGTCAACTGAATCGAATCCACACTCTCATACTTATTTAAGGTCCATTTTAATATTATCCTACGCTACCATAAAAGGAATAGTAGAAAATCGAATACTTTCAGGAAAATTATTCGAGAGCTACGAATCATGAGTAAATTAACAATGTTGAATGTTATTTCACGTAAGATAGCGTCGAATGACACGTCATAATAACCAAAAGCTAAAGGTGGAAAACTGAGTAAAATAACGAAAACCTGAGGTAAGCTTGGCTTTTAGGTGAAATTGTAACCAAGTAAATTCAGTCTTCTAAGCAGGAGTGAAAACCACTAAACTCAAATAATCTAAGTAAGCTGCATTTGTTTGCTAACATTCGTCATACAAAAGCCCTGTGTGCTTTGCTTTATTTTCTGAGGCCCGTAGTTTATTGAGCTGTTCAGGAGTCTTGGCATTCTTGGCAAGAAACTTAATGGATAGACCGAGTTGTAATTCAAAAAATGGAGGCATAAGACCAGGCAGTCATGCCCCATCATCTGTCACTTATAGGACACATTAAATTCATTCATTGTGCATACACATATTAATCTTCGTGCGTCATCCTCGAAACTAATCGTTTGATTCAGATGTAATTTAGGATTGGGATTCTACCATAAAAGTTCTTGGGGAATTTTAATTTTGATTCGTATCACCTAACACCACTAATAAAACTTTTTCTAATCTTTATCTACGTCCTTGATGATTGATACAGATTCAGTTTCCGAAAAGATGGAAATTAACTTCTTACTGAATTGGCTAATCGCCCGAGAAGACCTATCTAACTTCAATGAACAAGATTCGTCTTGAGAAGGGCCATTATCATTCAGCTGGTCAACAAATTACTGAATGATAGCAAGGACAATTGTAAAATGTTTAAATGACGCCAAGTTTTTGGAACCTTTAACGTTGTCTCTCAAATATTGCGCAAAGCAAAACCGACATTTGTAGTAGCGCTCCGTGTACAGTTTTTTTTTGGTCAGTGGGAAGGACAGTTAAAAATACGTGTGTATATACATATATCACCCGGCAGATTGCCTTCGACAAGGTGGTGATACCTTATGCACGACAAAATTACAATATAACGATAGCTAACAGGTTTTTAGAATTGAATATTTGGAATAACATTAACGAATCTAAATGTAATTACCAAGGAAGTTAAGAGCAGATTAAATTGAAGTAGCGCTTTGTGCCATTCAGTTATAAAACTTCTATCTTGCATCTCCTATCGGAAGAAGATACCTCTCGCCCTAATAGAACAACAAAGGTCATGAGTTTAGATTGTCTTCTGGGTTGTGACTTCTTGCCACTTTGAAGATCGTTATTAAGTTTTCGGAGGAAAGTACAACCTACATCACCCGTGATGATGAAGGCAGAATGTCCCTCTGAAACGTTCGCACAAAATCAATAATTTCCAGATGGTGAACATCTATATTCGCATCGACGTGAAAATCTCAAATCTTACAAACAGTAACTTATTTTACTTTCAGTTTAAACTGTTCTATCCTTTTCTGCTGTAAATTTCCTGTGATACAGTGCAGCATCCCACGATAGTTTATTTCGTGGTTAGCGTTAAGTACGTGCGAGCGACAGTCAGCCCTTCCACTACGTTCACTTGGCAAAGATTCATATTATTGTACGAGTACATGGATGCGGACCGACGGGGCGGACCTCATGTGAAGACAACATAGATTTAATTCTGGTTTGAATCATCGCTTCGCGCTTACCAGGGGCTTTATTTTTAAACACGGACTATTCCTGGTTTATTTTGATATTGGTGGTTCTATAAAAGGGTTTGTAATTTACGATCAAGCATGTAGATCTCTCTTTCATCTTGACTTTCATGCCTTAGGATTCGTTACAGCAACGTTAACATTCTGCGAAACAAGATTTTTCAGTTAAGTCTTGCGTTTATTTTGTGGTACATATTCATTTAATAAAAAAAATAAAAGTGCTCTTACAAGGATAAACTCACGAAATTGATCAAAGTCTCAATCGACTAAAACAATGCATTACGGGAAGAAACTTATTTAACTCTGTTGTGTGAAACACATGTTATGTGGTGTTGAATGAAAGTGATAATTATCAGCGATCAGATCGTAAGGACGTAGGAGAATATTGTTGTGCAGTTACTTGAAAAAACACAAAAGAATCAGGAGCCTGCCCGTTCTCCGGATCTCTAAAATATAAAGCAGAAGTGTTAAGTAGGCTACTGTACCTGACTCTTACTCAGTCATTGCCGAATCCCGACAAGACTGCTAAATCTCGGTGTATTTATAAACAGTATAGCTGATGATCAAATGATTCATTCGGAAGCCACACTGACTTTTGGTTCCTTTCATATCTGACAGTTTAGTTTATGTAGTGCACGTCATGACAGAAAGAATTCCGGGGCAGGAAAATAAACTAGACTTGATGGTGGGCCTCATTCTGTCATCGTAAGGCACTCACAGAGAAGCCATCGTATTATAAAGTAGTGAAACCTAAAAATAGAGGTGTTTGGATTATTTCGTCTTCTGCTTCCTACTTTGTCCCAAAACTATGGACCACAAATAAACAATATTTGTTCATACAAAGTTAGAAAATTAAATGAAACACCGTTATAAGTTTTGACATTAGGCTTACACTTACACTTCTTCTCTGTGGTTACTTCTATGCTTCTGGATCAACAGGTCACAATTTTCCTGATTTCTACATAAAAAGCTGCTTTTCGGCTTGCCTTTAAACTGTTCTTAAGTCATTAAGTGAAACTTTGCCGTCAATAGCAAACTTCTTTTTGCTGAACCTAAAAGTGGCCTACATGCAACATTTTATTTAGGTCACTCATTGCTGGGCAAAAACACAACTGAATGGAGTTGGTAATGTCTCTTGTTGCAACAAGCGTATACATTACGATTACGTCCGAAGTCTGTGTGTAAAGTGCGCACAAATGTTTTAAACAAAGGCGTTTCAATGGACGGGTCTTCCAATTTGCAAATTCTCTCAAGCTTAGAAGGAAAATCAAATTCACATATTTGTTATGTACATTAATATTCTTTCTTAAAATGTAAGAATAAATTTCTGGCAGATGGTGACTTGACTGACAGCGGCATAGATAGGCCGACAATGACATAACCAGCTGAAAACAACTTAACTAATTATGTAAACAACAGGGTAAATTAGGATTTGAGGTTTTCACGGCGGTGAGTATGAAGATTTCTGTCTTCTGGGTTGTTGCGCTGTGTAGTCTGGTCGATGTTTACCGACGTTTCAGAGGTCCTTGCTGCCTACATCATCAGGGCTCCAGTTATGACGCAGGAGACCAAACCCCGTTTCCCAAAAATCCTTTGTTTTTAAGGCTTTAACAAACTTCCCTTCGATCCATTTAGCGTGAACATCCGGAATCATTTGCGAGAACGGTGTCACTGGATCATGTTGGACCACACCCAGCTGTAAATAGCTCACCCCTTTTCGTCACGCAGTAAGGGTGGAGGAAGGAAATATGATTAAGTTTCTAAATTACAGAGTATCTATCCATCGGGATCTGTGTCACCGACACAGCACTGTGCTTCTGAAATACCAGTAAAATTGTTATGTCATAATGGAAATGAAGGAATGCCTTAAAGAAAGTTTAGGGATACACATAACTAACGCCGTGTAGTTCTTGAAACGTTGGTGGTAGCTTACTTGGTCAAGAAATTTCCCGCCTTTCGCGGAACCCTAAGATTCATTACCGCCTTCACAAACGCCCAGTACTGGATCCTACCGTTCGTCCGTTGAATCCTTTACACAACACAAATTATTTCTGAGATATCCTTTTTAATAATATTCCCCTCTCGAAGCTAACATCTCCCAAGTGGTCTCTTCTCTTCAGGCTTACAACTAATATTTTGTATGCATTTACTATCTCTCCCATACGTGCTACATGTCCCGCCCATCTCACTCTCCTTGATTTAATCACCCTAATATTAAATGAAGACTGCAAATTATGAAGCTCCTTATGATGTAATTTTCTCCGTCCTCCTCCTGCTTCCTGTTGTCCAGGTTATTTTCATTGCATTGTTAACACCCAAAGTTAGGACCTGGTTGTGTAAATTACGACCCTTTCAACAAATCAACACATGCGGCCTGCCATGAAGTGGGAGTCTTACTCGGTCATTAAGGCTATTCATTGGTGAGGTGGGACACGAAGAACCAGCCACATTAATATAATGATTGCCACTTTCTTTAATTTGTTACCTAGGAGGTACAGATTGTTCACAGGGATATTCTAATACGGAAAAAAGCAGCCTGTCAGCGTTAAAGTAAGAGCTCGTTGTTTTCCTATCTCAGCAATCCGCTTTGGGCACTACGTGACCCAACTAAGGCCTCATATGGTAAAGTGTACTTATAAGCCTTGGTATCTGCACCTTCCATGAAGACAACCGGCCCTCTGTGTGACATCCAAAGGTTTATTATTGTAGAAGTCCTAACGGCGGTGGAGATGTTTATTGTGGTCTTCGGGTTGTGATCCATCATAGTCTTGTAGGTGATTACCAGCGTTTCAGAGGAACCTATAGCCTCCATCTTCATTGTTCAAGACTTTACATTCCAACTAAATGTTAATCACATAAGGACAACAAGGAGTCACATATAATCAGAAAATAATTAACTCATATTTTGCGAAACTTACTGGAAATGTC